TTTTTTTTTTTTTTCCCTAAAATACAAGCCTGATCGCATCGCTTACTTTTCATAAGCTTCTGTGGTCTTCTGGTGAAAAGAAAAACGCCCTCAGCGCATTATTAGTCCCAAAGCTTCCTCTCTAGCCAAGGCCTTGGCCACCTGCCTTGTGTTCAACACACTGATGTACTCATAGCTCTCATGCATTGTAGGGTCAGCTTTGAGAAGAACAATTTGAACTATCAGAGCTGTCCAGGAACAGAGAATCCAAAGTCTGGTACTTCAAATGTCCTAAGAAATACTCATGGAGCCCAGTAGGGAATGGGCCACCCTCTGAGACATACTGAGGCAGGACCGCCACCCGGTAGAGGACCACTCTGCATGGTGAACTCCGATCCTTGCTCACTACTTGCTCCTGCTGAACCATTCACCTCACAGAGGCCTCTGATTGCTGTGCTGCTTCTATTTTAATTGTTGCCAGATCCACAGTGGATCAGTTGAAAGTAGCATTAACCAGTCACTCTGCCTTCTATGAATCAGTTGCTTATCCCCAGCCCACTTCAGTATGAATCCAGGCTGAGCTTCTGCTGTGAAGCCCCCAGGATGGGGATGGGGGCGCTGAGGGAGGTATCAGATTGTCATCGCTCCACATTTCTGGGTTTCAACCTCAGCTAGAAGCTCATCTCTGCATTGTCATCAGCATCTCTTCCAAATCTTTTGACTCGTTCCCCTTAAATCCCTTAGCATCTCCTTAGCACCCCCTGACCTTTTTTTTGGAATAGGTTGGCATGCAGTGGCACCATCCCTCAAACTTAACCTCAACTGCAGCCTCAACTTCCTGGGCTCGACCTCCCAGGCTCAAGCTGTCCTCCCACCTCAGCCTCTGAAGGAACTGGGACTACAGGCACATGCCACCACACTCGGCTAATTTTTAAGTTTTGTTGTAGAGACGAGGTCTTGCCGTGTTGCCCAGCCTGGTCTTGAACTTCTGACCCCAAGCAATCCTCCTACCTCAGCCTCCTAAAATGCTGGGAATACAGGTGTGAGCCACCGTACCAGGCCCTGTTCAGCTCTTTTATTTAGCAGAATGATACTGTTTGCTACTTTATGGAGAAAACAGAAAACATCGGGAGTGAGCGTTTAGCCACTTTCCTCTCCTTTCCCTCTGTTTCAGAAGTGTCTCTTTCATCTCTAGATTAACAGTAATCCTGTCTCCATACACCTCTGACACCATCCCTTTTTGTCTCTCCATTTTTTTTTTTTTTTTAAGACAGAGTCTCACTCTGTTGCCTAGGCTGGAGTGCAGTGGCATAATCTCAGCTCACTGCAACCTCTGCCTCCTGGATTCAAGCAATTCTCCTGCCTCAGCATCCTGAGCAGCTGGGACTACAGGTGTGTAAAACCATGCCCGGCTAATTTTTTGTATTTTTAGTAGAGATGGGATCTCACCATGTTGGCCAGGCTGGTCTCAAGCTCCTGACCTCAAGCGATCCACCTGCCATTGCCTCCCAAAGTGCTGGGATTACAGGTGAGAGCCATCGCAACCGGCTGTCTGTTTTTATGGATTATTATCTCTGCTCCTGAGTCTTCAAGTCTTCCCTTCCCAAGCCACACTTCCCAAAAGAGCAGTCAGCATCCCCTCTCCACTTCTCGGCTTCCATTCTTCACTCTCGAAGTTCAGTCTGGCTTCCTCTCCCCTCTATTAAGATGGCCTTTGTTGGTCATCAAATTCTAAATTGGTGGTGCATCTTTCTTGACCTCTCCAGAGCGTTGACGATTCTGACCACACCCTCCTTCTCAAAAGCCTCTCTTCCTAGGTGCCTCTGATACCACTTTCACAGCATGTGATCTATAGATTCTTGAGAATTTCTTGAAACTTCCTTTGTGGCCCAGTAGTCAATTTCTGTAAATGCTCCAAGCATGTTTGTAAAGAACAGATCTACCCAAGTTCTTTTTCTAAAATACAAACCTTCTCTCATTTCTTCCTTGTCTTCCATCACTTTTGTGGTCTTCAAGTGAAGGACCAACCCCCTCCGTCCTGAATCTTTATTTTCTATCTTTTTTTCTTGACCCTTTGATCTTGAAATGCAGGTGTTCCCAGCATTTTCTATTCTTTTATTGCGTCCCCTTTTATGCTTCATGAAAAGGGATGACCTCTCCCAAGCTCTGAGCAAGTGCTGCCATGGAAGAAGGTGGGCCCACTGCTGCCAGACTTCCCCACTTTTCCAGAGCAGCTAGATTCAGATACAGTAGGGATTTCTTTTTTTTTTTTTTTGAGACAGAGTCTCGCTCTCTTGCCAGGCTGGAGTGCAGTGGCACCATCTCAGCTCACTGCAACCTCTGCCTCCCGGGTTCAAGCGATTCTCCTGCCTCATCCTCCCGAGTAGCTGGAACTACAGGCGTGTGCCACCATGCCCAGCTAATTTTTGTATTTTTAGTAGAGACAAGCTGGAGGCTGCAAGATGCTGACTCTCTACAAATTGCTTCTGGGAATAACATCACTGCTGTAAAACCTAAAATCAGTGCTTGAGATATTTTGCAGACCCTGTGTTCTGATGCACCAGCTGACGCCACCCAGCCCTATAATCTGGCTCATCTGTTCTTATGGCGCTAACCCAGGAACTGACTCAGTGCAAGAGGATAGCTTTGACTCCTTTCATTTGTGATCCAACCAATCCACACTCCCTAACCCCTAGACCCCTACCCACCAAATTATCCTCAAAAACCCCGCATTTCCAGGGAGAGTGATTTGAGTAATAATAAAACCATGGTCTCCTGTACAGCCAGCTCTGTGTGAATTAAATTCTTTCTCTATTGCAATTCCCCTGTCTTGATAAGTTGGTTCTGTCTAGGCAGCAGGCAAGGAGAACCCATTGGGTGCTCATAAAATGGCAGAATATTTGCATATAACCTATGCAAATCCTCCAGTATATTGAAAATCATATTTAAATTACTTATAGTACCTAATAGAATGTAAATACTATGTAAATAGTTGCTACGCTGTATTGCTTTCAGAATTTGTATTATTTTTATTGTTGAACAAGACAAATATTGTTAACTATGTATAAAATACAATGTTTTTTATTGTTTTCCCTCACAAATATTATCCATCCACAGTTGGTTCATTCTGTAAATGGGGAACCTGTAGACATAGAGGGTTGACTGTACTTTGTCTTGTGACTCAGAGCTACTGAGTTTAAGGCCCAGGATTCCATGTTGACCATTCAGCTCCAAAGCTCAAGCTTTATTTTCTTTTATTTTTTTGTCTGAGATGGAGTCTCGCTCTGTCGCCCAGGCTGGAGTGCAGTGGCCCGATCTCGGCTCACCGCAACCTCTGCCTCCTGGGTTCAAGCGATTCTCCTGCCTCAGCCTCCTGAGTAGCTGGGATTACAGGCATGCACCACCACGCCTGGCTGATTTTTGTATTTTTGGTAGAGATGGGGTTTCACCATGTTGGTCAGGCTGATCTCAAATTCCCAGCCTCGTGATCTGCCTGCCTTGGCCTCCCAAAGTGCTGGGATTACAGGCGTGAGCCACCATGCCCAGACAGCTCAAGCTTTTAATCACATTACTGCTTTCCCACTCAGTAGATGAAACTAAGTCCAAAGAGGTTAAGAGGCTGTCCAAGATCACAGTGGTGGTAAGTGGCCAAGCCCGGATTTGAGCTACCCTCTCAGAGACAGACACCTGTAGCTACTGCTGTTCTATATTAGTTACCTGTCTCCCTTGCTAGGCTGCGTCCCTAGCTCTCAGACTAGGGATAGAATGCAAACGTTTGGAAAATTAATGTCTTGAAGATTCAAAGCAGTCCATTCACTTCCAGGAGTAATTTCACTTATCTTCTTACAACAATCCCTAGATAAGATAATAACATTTCATCAGCACTCCCGTGTGAGGCTTTTCAATGGCTATGCTAAGCACCTGATACAGGTATTGTTATCTCTTTTTTTTTTTTTTTTGAGACGGAGTTTCGCTCTTGTTACCCAGGCTGGAGTGCAATGGCGCGATCTCGGCTCACCGCAACCTCCGCCTCCTGGGTTCAGGCAATTCTCCTGCCTCAGCCTCCTGAGTAGCTGGGATTACAGGCACGTGCCACCATGCCCAGCTAATTTTTTGTATTTTTAATAGAGACGGGGTTTCACCATGTTGACCGGGATGGTCTCGATCTCTTGACCTCGTGATCCACCCGCCTCGGCCTCCCAAAGTGCTGGGATTACAGGCTTGAGCCACCGCGCCCGGCCAGTTATCTCTTGCAAATCTCACCGACAGTATTTTGCAAGGACAAGTATCCCCATTTAATGGAAAAGGAAACAGGCTTAGCGGCTCAGTGACTGGCCCAAGCCCCTGCAACTAGTAGGTGGCAGAGCCAGGATTCCAGCTCAGGCTATCTGACCACAGAGTCCACTTTTTTTTATTTTCAGTAGAAGTCTTGCTCTGTCACCGAGGCTGGAGTGCTGTGGCCGGATCTGGCTCACTACAACCTCTGCCTCTCGGGTTCAAGCGATTCTACTGCCTCAGCCTCCTGAGTAGCTGGGATTTACAGGCACACACCACTACGCCCGGTGAATTTTTAGTAGAGACAGGGTTTTACCATGTTGGCCAGGATGGTCTCGAACTACTGACCTCAAGCGATCATCCCGCTTTGGCCTCTCAAAGTGCTGGGATACAGGCGTGAGCCACCGCACCCGGCCCAGAGTCCACAGTTTTGACGTCGAGGCCACACTGTCAGTTCCGCAGATGGGGAAACTGAGGCCCGTGCAGGGCACAACATTGTGCTGGCGGAATCGTAGCCATTATGGGAAGCACGTGCTGTACGAAGGTTCTTCCTCTTTGGTCGGGGCAGTCATTGAGGTGCAGGGAGCGGAGGACGACAAGTGGAAGCCCTTCCCATTATTAAGGATCAAGAACCGCGCGGGAATCTGCGTAATTTTGGATTTAACCCCCGAGGCGGAAACAGCAGGGCACTGGCGCTAGGGGAGAACCGGAAGTGCGTCACTCTATGGGCGGGAGAATCAGCTGCAGGCCACCAATGGGAGCGCCGCGTTCGCGTTCGCCCCGCCCCAAAGGAAGACGAGTCCGCCTGGCAGCAGTAGCAGCTAGAGCAGTTCGGGCTGCGCTTGGGCGCCCTGGTGGGTAATGCGTGGCGCGAAGGGCTAGAGGGGAAAGAGGGACTTCGAGGAAGGCGAGGGGAGGACGGAATATGGGGTAGGCGAGACAGGGAGTGGGGTCCGGCCCCGGTGTCGGCCCCCGTGGGCTGTGAAACTCGAGGACGGGGTCTTGGAGATTCTCCCTTTCCTGATGGGGAAACTGAGGCCCAGAGAGGGGCCGCAGAGGGCCGCGGACTGGGATTTCCTTCCGCAACACACAAGCAGGCATCTAAAAATCGTACTATTAAGTGAAAAATATTTTTAATCGTAATTAAGTACGATTTAACAGGTAAAGATACTTTTCATCGTAATAGGTGAAGAAGCAAAATATAAAATTTGATTCAAACTGTGGTTACATCTATGGCCTTTGCCGACCACCCTCTCTGTGCGTCCCGCCGCTCTCCATGCTCCCCTCTGTTTTGTGTACGGCGTTTCTTACTTGGCACAAGTCCACAGCCCCTTGTGTTAAAGCCCCGAGGCCAGATGCTTTTAGAATCAAGGATTTCTGGGAGTTTGGAAAGATGGTGCTTACGTTCTACGTTCGGTTTCACCCTCAGCGGGGGGAGCAGCGGTTTATAATCAAATACGCGACTCTTTCCACAACTGAAGATATGCATATATTTACACTGTTGGGATAAATAACCATAGATAGCCTCCCCTTAAGCCAGGTCAGGTTTTCCAACTTAAGAAAAGTTTTGCTTTCAGACTTTTTTTTTTTTTTTTTTTTTTCCCCCTGCACCTGATCATCCATTAGTATTCAGACCTTTTTAGATTTGAGGATTGCAGATTGAGGGGGACGTGGATCGTAGCTGTTCTGTGCACTCACCATTCTCGCTCTCGCTGGATTGAGAGTGTCTTGGGAACAAGAACTGCGCTTTTGTGTGGTCACATCTATCTCTGCCACCAACGCTTGTATGTCACCGTGTGCCCCCTTAGCCTCAGTTTCCTCTTCTGTAAGATGGGGTTAGTTATCCTTTGCTGTAAGGGTGTTCTGGTTAGGGTTAAATGAGGTCGAGCATGTGAAGCACTAGAACGGTTAGCACCTGCAAGGATTGTATGACTGAGATTTACTTATTTCACAAACATTTCTATTTTAAAATTATTAAATTTAAATAAGTAAATTATTAAATAGATAAATTTAAAAGTAATAAATGTATTTCTTAAAATGTGGGTGACAGGAATTTTAAAGATTTAAATAATGCTTCAAAAGCCTTAGAATAAGAAAAGTTTTTTAAAATTAGTTTATCTGTATGTCTGAACTCTTGAAACTTACGGCTAAAACGCTAGGATTTGTTTGCAGGTTACAGAGAGATAATTCTGCTCTAAATTGTCTAACACAAAAACAAAACCTGCCAACCTAGGTTACACATGAGATTAAAACCAATTTTTCTCTCATTTTTTTCCCCTTTTTTTCTTTTGCTGTCCACATTGTACTGTTATTTTATGAGCCCCAGTTTTCTGGGCTTAAAAAAAAATTATTTCTAAACGTTGAATTTAGGGAGCTTTTGTTTTTGAATAAAAAAGCATAAACTTTTTTCTTTTTTTTTTAAATCTCTTCATCCAGGAAAATACATTGAAATCATGCTGCTGAGCCTCTAGCTTCTTTGATGTTTTCTTTCAATATTCTTTTATCATAAATTTTTAGCATTTAAAAATTTACTGATGTATATTTAAAGTCAAACTTTAATCAAAATTTATACATATATATATGTATATATTTTTTGAGATGGAGTCCCGCTCTGTCACCCAGGCTGGAGTGCAGTGGCTCACTGCAACCTCTAGTTCCTGGATTTAAGCGATTCTCCTGCCTCAGCCTCCTGAGTAGCTGGGATTACAGGCATGCGCTGGCACACCCGGCTAATTTTTGTGTAAAATAAATTGACTTAAGTAGGTAATACATGTCTATGGCTAATCCCGCCCCTTTCCCCACAGTCTCTCCTCATAGAGACAAGGGACATTACATGCATAAACAAGCCTTTGCTTTTCTTTCTTCTACTTTCCCACCTCTATTCCACTAAATTTTCCACTGAATTATCTTGTACTGTACTCATTCTCCTTTACATTTATTTTGGCTGTTATTTAACGTATTCACATTAATTTTCTTTTGTAGCGAGTGGATCTTGCTGTGTTGCCCAGGCTGGTCTTAAACTCCTGGCCTCAAGTGATCCTCCTGCCTTGACCTCCTAAATTATTGAGATTACAGGTGTGAATCACCATGCCCAGCCCATCACATTCAAAAACATTGTATGTAACATCCCTATACAATTGTGTGGAAGTGTAAGTTTGAAGAACAAAAATAAAATGAACACTCATGTACCTGCCACCAAGTTAAGAAATAGACATTTTCATATCCCCTGACCCCCCCACCGAATCCTGCCTTCTGTCCTCAAAGATAATCACCGCCCTGAATGTTGTTTGGCTTTGTGGCTTTTACGATGTATGCATTCATTTCTAATGAATATAATGCATGCTTTTGCTGAAATTTTGTTTTAATATAATAGGATCCTAAAATATATTTTGGGTGAGTGACTTGTTGCATATAACATTATCTTTCGGAGAAGCATGTGTGTTGACGAAGGGAGCTTTATCTTCACTGCCGATTTGAATTCTCTAGGGTGATGATATTGTTTTAATGTAGTTCTTCAGTTGGTAGGCATTTATATTGTTGCCAGACTTGTTATTCGGTAAAAATATATTTCCTAGGGCAAATGTGGAAGTTTCTGTAAGGCATATACCTAATAAATAGTAGATTTCTGGGGATATGCAAATTTGCTAGTAATATCAACTGTTCATCTGAAATGGTTACAAGAATTTATACCCAGCCGGGCGTGGTGGCTCACACCTGTAATCCCAGGATTTTTAGGAGGCTGAGGTGGGTGAATAGCTTGAGTTCAGGAGTGTGAGACCAGTTGGGGTAACATGGTGAGACCCCCCAAAATACAAAATTTAGCTGGGCGTGGTGCAGTGTGCCTTTAGATGCAGCTACTGGGGGACTGAGGTGGGAGGATCGATTGACCCCTCAAGGTTAAGGCTGCAGTTCGCGTTGGCCCCGCCCCAAAGGAAGAAGAGTCCGCGTTGCAACCGTAGCTGCTAGTGCAGTCTGGGGCTGCGCTTGGGTGCCCTGGTGGGTGACGTGGGGAAAGAAGAGGGACTTCAAGGAAGGGGAGGGGAGGACGGAAGATGGGGTGGGCGAGACAGGCAGTGGTATCCAGCCCCGGGGTTAGTCCCTGTGGGCTGTGAAACTCTGGGACGGGGGTCTTGGGGTTTCCCCTTTCCTGATGGGGAAACTGAGGCCCAGAGAGGGGCCGCAGAGGGTAGTGGACTGGGATCTCCTCCCGCAACACTGCGTCACTTCAGTCTAGCCTGAACAATACTGTGTCTCAAAAAAAAAAAAAAAAAAAAGAATTTGTACTCTTCTAGCAGCAGATGAAAATTTCAGCCTCAGCCATTCTTTAAAAATTTTTGTCTGTCTGGTGGTTGCCAAGACATTCCTTCACTGTGGTTTTAATAATCATTTGTCTGATGACATCAAGATTGAGCACCTTTTTTTCGTATTTATTTATCATTTATGCATCCCCTTTTTGTAAATTTCTGTTGCCCATTTTTCTTTTACAGTTGTATTTTCCATCCTGATTTGTAGGAATTCCTTATACATTCTGAATATGAATCTCTTGTATTGTGTAGCTTATGTTTGTTTCAGATACCCTCCAGTTTGTACCCCTAACCTCCACCTTTCTGGCATTTTTGGTAAATAGAGGTTCTTAATTTTAACACAATTCAAATTTATCAGTATATTCCTTTATGACTGTACTTTTTGTATCTCTTAAAGAAAGCTTTCCCTACCCTCAGGTGGTACATGCATTCTCTATACTGTCTAAAAGTTTTATAGTATTTTTCTTTATTATGACCTTATCCCTTCAGAATTGATTTTTGTGTATAGTGTGAGGTAAGAATCAACTTTTATTCATTTTTTTCACATACAGATAACAAGTTTTCCTGGCACCTTTTATTGTAAAGATTGCTTTAATCCACCATCAAGTATCTATATATGTATACCTTTCTGTTTCTGAGTTCTCTCTTCTGTTCCACTGATTAGTCTTATTTGCCTGTCTCTGTGCCATTACCATCCTTTATTCATTACTCTAGCTTTATAAGAAGTGTTTTGTTTTTAGGCAGGATCTCACTCTGTCACCCTGGCTGGAGCGCAGTGGTGCAATCGTGACTCACTGTAGCCCTGACATCTCGAGCTGAAGCAGTCCTCCCACCTCAGTATCACGAGTAGCTGGGACTACCGGCGGGCACCGTCCTGCCCAGCGATTTTTAAAAAAATTTTTATTTTTAGTAGAGACGGGGTCTCACCGCATTGCCCAGGCTGGTGTTACACTCTTGGGCTCAAGTGATCTGCCCACCTCAGCCTCGCAAAGTGTTGGGATTACAGGCACACACTACCACCCCTAGCCAATAGGAGAAGTCTTTATAGCTGGCAGGACAAGTCCCCCTGCCTTTCTCTTCTCCCAGAATGTCTTTGCTGTTTTCCCTTTGTGTTTTCTGTGTAAATTTTTAGAATCATCGTGTCAAATCACATACACACATACACAAAGCCTGTTGGGATTTCGATTGCAATTGCTTCGATTCAGTTGGGTCAGTTTGGTTTTTAAAGTGATGACTGTCAGCATTTCATTTTTCCGTATGATGTTTGCTGCAGGTATTTTTTATAGATGTCACTTAGTAGATCAAAGATGTTTTCTTCAATTCCAAATTTGTTTTTGGTGTAAATACGTGTTGAATTTTATCAGTTGTATATCCTGCATTTATTAAGATGATCATGTGCTTTTTTGAAACACACTTTTATTTTAGGTTTGGCAGTCATGTGAAGGTTTGTTAGATAGGCAAATCATGTCATGGAGTTTCTTGTACAGCTTATTTCATCACCCAGAAATTAAGCCCAGGATGCAGTCGTTATATTTTCTACTCTTCTTCCTCCCACCCTCCACCCTCAAGTAGACCACAGTGTCATTTCCTTCTTTGCGTTCATAAGTTTTCATCATTTAACTTCCACTTATAAGTGAGAACATGTGGTATTTGGTTTTCTGTTCCTGTGTTAGCTTACAGAGGGTAATCATCTTCATTTTCATCCACGTTCCTGCCAAAGACATTATCTCTTTCTTTTTTATGGCTGCATAGTATTCCATGGTGTATATGTACCACATTTTCTTTATCCAGTAGCCTGTCATTGATGGGCATTTAGGCTGATTCCATGTCTGCTATTGTGAATAGTGTTGCGATGAACATTCCCGTGCATGTGTCTTCATGGGACAATATTTATATTTCCCAGTAATGGGGATGCTGGGCCAAATGGTAGTTCTGCTTTTAGCTCTTTGAGGAATCACCACACTGCTTTCCACAATGGTTTAACTAATTTACGCTCCCACCAACAGTTTGTAAGGGTTCCGTTTTCTCTGCAACCTCGCCAGCATCTGCTAGTTTTTGACATTTTGATAATCACCATTCTGACTGATGTGAGATGGTATCTCATTGTGGTTTCGGTTTGCATTTCTCTAATGATCAGTGATACTGAGCTTTTTTATTCCCATATGCTTCTTGGCCTCGTGTATGTCTTCTTTTGAAAAGTGTCCTTTGCCCAGTTTTTAATGGGGTTGTTTTTCTCTTGTAAATTTAAGTTCCTTATGGATGCTGGATATTTAGATCTTTGTCAGATGCATAGTTTGCAAATATTTTCTCCCATTCTGTAGGTTGTCTGTTTACTCTATTGGTAGTTTCTGCTGTGCAGAGTTCTTAAGTTTAATTTGATCCTATTTGTCAATTTCTGCTTTCATTGTGATCGTTTTTGGTGTCTTTGTTGTGAAATCTTTGTCCGTTGCTGTATTCAGGATGGTATTGCCAAGGTTGTCTTGCAGGGATTTTATAGGTTTTAGGTCTTGCATTTAAGTCTTTAATCCATCCGGAGTTGATTTTTGTATGTGCCATAAGGAAGTCATCACAAGGCTATTAGAACATTAATCCTAGTGATTGCTCATCTCCCATTTATGTTATTATTTTTGTGTATTTTAATTTTTAAAAAACCTCATTCTTTTTGCTGTTGTATTAAAAACTTTTTTTTTTAAATAGAAGCATTTCTTCAGATTTTTGCTGTTTTATACAATTAACTTGGATTTAACCATATATTTACCAAAGTTTTTTGCTCTTTATTCTGCCCTGCATTTTAGAGCTTCCAACGTGCCTCACTTTCTTTCTTCCTGAACCACATGCTTTGGAATTTCCTTTAGGGAGCATCTCCTCACTTGCTCCTTCAGTTTTTCATTGTTTGGAAATGTTTTTGTCTTACTCTCAGTCTTTAGCTGGATAGAGAATTCTCTGCTGAGACACCCCCTGCCAGCATAGGAGATATTTTTCCGCTGTGACCGACTTCCATAGCTGCCATTGTGATGTCAGCTGTCTGTGGGATTATTGCTGTTTACAAGTCATCTGACTTTTTCTTTGATTGCTTTTAATCTATGGTATTGTGTACTTTTACTAGGATGTACCTAGGTGGATATTTTAGAGTTTATTCTGCTTGAGATTTCATAGTATCACAATGGCCGTGATTCATATCATTTGTCCCTACTGCTGAAACTCGGCGACGCCCTCGTCCCCTTTTGTAGGATCCCTTCTGTAGACTGCTTTCTGGACTCTTGGCCTCCTGTTTCTTTCCTCTATACCTCCAAGATGCCAAAGGAGGTAATCTTCCTAAAACACAGCTAGGTAACACCGTCTTCCTGCTTAAAGACCCTTAGTTGTAGTGAGATCCTTTGTTTGCAGGATAGAAGTACTTTTTTTTTTTTTTTTTTGAAGATAGAGTCTTGCTTTGTCGCCCAGGCTGGAGCGTAGTGGCATGATCTTGGCTCACTGTAACCTCTGCCTCCCAAGTTCAAGCAGTTCTCCTGCCTCAGCCTCCCAAGTAGCTGGGACTACAGGCACTTGCCACCACGCCCGGCTAATTTTTGTAGTTTTAGTAGAGACAGGGTTTCACGATATTGGTCAGGCTGGTTTTGAACTGTTGACCTCAGGTGATCTGCCGGCCTCGGCCTCCCAAAGTGCTGGGATTACAGGCGTGAGCCACCCCACCTGGCCATAAGTCAATTTTTTTAGCCTGGCCCATTCTATCCCTGTGCCCAGAAAGAACAACCACTGGCAAATATGGGCGTGCTAAGTACATTGACATGGCGTGGCCCTAGTGATAGGAAATAGAGTCGGTGACTGGCTGGATTTGAGGTTTAAGGAGAGGAGGACCAGAGTTTGATGCTCAGGTGTGTGGTATGATTGTGTGGACTGCACCTTCCACACCAGATCATTTGTAAAGAGAAGGACTTGGGAGAGGAAAAGGGCTGAGGAGATGGAAGGAGAGGATGAGTCTAATGTAGGCTTTGTTGAGGTGCAGATTTGGTGAGATGGAGGATGTCTTTCTAGCAGGCAGCTGCAGGAACTAGTTATAAGATGGTGCATCTTCCCAGCCCTGAGGTCCAGTTGAGGTTGCGGTTAAAGAATAGCACTGGCTGGGTGTGGTGGCTCACGCCTGTAATCCCAGCACTTGGGGAGGCTGAGGCCGGTGGATTGCCTGAGGTCAAGAGTTGGAGACCAGCCTGGCCAACATGGTAAAACCCTGTCTCTGTTAAAAATATGAAAATTAGTTAGGCACAATGGCAGATGCCTGTAGTCCCAGCTACTCGGGAGGCTGAGGCAAGAGAATCACTGGAACATAGGAGGCAGAGGTTACAGTGAGCCGAGATCATGCCACTGCACTCCAGCCTGGGCAACAGAGCAAGGCTCCATTTCAAAAAAAGAAAAAAAAAAAAACAAAGGGCAAAAGAACAGTAATTAGCCATCTTGTTTGTCCTTTATGTGCCAGGTGCTTGGCAAGCCTTTGGTAGTTGGGACTCCTTTAGGCTTCCTCTATGCCTTTGAGATAGCTACTGCTTTCCCTGTTTTAGAGATGAAAAGACTGGGCCTTAGGGAGGCTCAACATATTAGCTAAAAATGTTTGCGTGCAGCATCTGCCCAAGGCAACAGTGAACTTCTTGTCAGATCATGACATCACCTAAAATGAATGTAAGCACCTCAGAATTCCAGGACCCACTGCGGTCAGAACATCCAGGAAAGGGTTTGGGAATATGTATTGTTAATATGCACATTAGGACATTCTTCAGATCGGGCTGGTCTGGGGCTTTCTGGTCTCAGTGCTTTCTGTTTAGCTCCAAATCCACATTCTTAGCCCTGCACTGCGTGTTCCATCACAGTAGCCGGTGTTTTGATCAGGGCTTGCGGAATACTTTTATTAGCGGTGATCTCTGTGGTTTGTAGAAAGATTCCATTTTATTAGCGAGCAGGAGATTTAAAAAACAGCCTGAAGTCCTACCATGATAGTTGTTTTATTAGTGGTTTGGGGAGAGGAGGAACCTAACGTTTATTAAGTGTTTACTCGCAGTTCTCTCAGTAATAAATTTTATTATAATTTTATTGTGAGAAAACGGGGCCTCTGCTAAATTTCTCCAAGGCCATAGATCTGGTAAAAGGCTGAGCCGAGGGTTAGACCTGGAATTGCCTAATAGTAAAAGTAGCTCACACGTATTTAGTGCTTACTATGTTACCATGGGTTAACATGTATTAACCCATCTAACGTTCGTAGCAATTCTGCAGAGGACGTTTCTGTCATTATTCTCCCTTTACAGATCAGAAACTGAAGCACGTGGTGACTTAAGTTGCCCAGTTTCACACACCTAGTAAGTGCGAAAGCCAGGCCCCGAACCCCGGCATTCTGGCTCCAGAATGCACACCTCTTACCACTGCCCAGTCCTAATTTGCTGTGGTTCGTGTTCGTCTTCTCACCTTTGTAGTAGTCGGCATGAAGAATGCATTTTAAAAATGATAGCAAATTTATATTTGTTCGTGCAAATTAGTACAAGACCTAGGACGTTGCTTGTGATGTGCTTGGGGATGACTAGTGTCATTAACTTCCTTTTCAGTTCGTTCCCACATGCAGGGCAGTGCAAGGAGAACGGGCGTCATGACTGATGTCCACCGGCGCTTCCTCCAGTTGCTGATGACGCATGGCGTGCTAGAGGAGCGGGACGTGAAGCGCATGCAGAAGCACTGCTACAAGGTCCACGACTGTGAGTACCATTTCCTTATTCCCAGGGCGCTCTGGTTCTGTGTTGATCGGGGACCAGGGATGTAGGTACAATACCATGTAACATGTTAACCAGTACTCCTGGCCTGAGCATTCAAGCCTCTAAGCCTCTTTACAATCTTACACCGACTGGCCCATCTCTTTTTTTTTTTTTTTTTTT